TCCCCGACCTTAATTTGTTAGTTGATCTCACCCACTATGACACTTCACATGATCCCACCCTTCATCCTTCCTCTTCACCTCTTCCTGCCTCTCCTCCACGTGTTCATCCAATGTCCTTACGTCCGCCAAAATGTCCTTACGTCCATCCACCATGGCCAAAACGACAAATCTCATTTTTCCACTCTTTCCTCTCACTTCTAAAGCCCAAAATTGACTACAGCAACTTGTGGGGAGCCCATCACCTACACCCAAGCTAAATCCTACCCTCAATGGCAAACTGCAATGCAAAGTGAGATTGATGCCTTACTTGCTACCAAAACTTGGACCCTTGTTCCCAAGCCACCAAGTGCAAATATCGTTGGTAATAAATGGGTTTATCGCATTAAGAGAAAACCTAATGGCGCAGTTGATCGCTATAAGGCGCGGCTAGTCGCAAAGGGTTACCATCAACAATCTGGAGTTGATTTTCATGAAACATTTAGTCCCGTTATCAAAGCTACTACCATACGTACCATTCTTGCTTATGCTACAACTCAAAAGTGGCCTCTTCGACAACTTGACGTCTCAAATGCATTCTTGCATGGGTATCTTGATGTTGATATATATATGGAGCAGCCAAAAGGATTTGTTGATGCTTCCAAGCCCGATTATGTCTGTAAGCTTGCTCGTTCTTTATATGGACTCAAACAAGCTCCACGAGCTTGGTTTGAGCGGCTGAGCACATTTCTCTTTTCTCTTGGTTTTAAGCTTGGTTTGAGCGGCTGAGCACATTTCTCTTTTCTCTTGGTTTTATTTCCTCCAAAGCTGACACATCTCTATTCATTTATACTAATGGTGCTACCAAGATTTTTATTCTTGTGTATGTAGATGATATTATTATCACAGGTACTTCTACTCATGTGATTCAGTCCTTTATTGCCGCATTACAACGAGAATTTCCAGTCAAGGACTTAGGCAACCTTTCCTACTTTCTTGGAATGGAAGTCATTCATACACAAAAGGGCTTACTTTTGAGTCAACAAAAGTACATTCAAGATCTTCTCCAACACACGGGAATGGCTAATGCTAAAGGATGTTCCACGCCTATTGCTACTGCTCCTCCGTTGACTAAAGCTAATGGCATTCCACTTGCGGACGGCACTCAATATCGCCAAACTGTTGGTGCCTTACAATATGCCACCATAACTCGGCCTGACATCACCTTTGCTGTGAACAAGCTATGTCAATATATGCATTGTCCAACTGAACTTCATTGGCAAGCTATCAAACGATTGTTACGATACTTGGCTTCTACAATCTCTTATGGCTTATTTTTCTCTCCACATTCAAATTCTACTATCCAATGCTATACTGACAGCGACTGGGGCGGTTGTAATGATGATCGTCGTTCTACTAACGGTTACGCTATCTATCTTGGCTCTAATTTAATTTCTTGGGTGGCAAAGAAACAACCTACAATAGCACGATCTTCAACTGAAAGTGAGTACAAATCTATTGCAAATGGTACGGCAGAAGTTCTTTGGCTGCAATCACTTCTTCGTGAACTTGGAGTTGTATCAGCCACTCCTCCCACTCTTTGGTGTGACAATATTGGTGCTATTTATCTCTCCTCCAACCCAGTCTTCCATGCTCGTACAAAACATATCGAACTGGATTATCATTTTGTTCGTGAGCGTGTTGCTTCAGGTCAACTTCAGATTAAGTTCATTGCAAGTGAGGACCAGATTGGGGACATCTTCACCAAGCCTCTGCCTACAGCTCGTTTCCTCTTCTTGCGCAGCAAACTTCGTCTACTTCCCCGGCCGGCATCTGCTTGACGGCAATCATGCTGACGGGGGGTGTAAAGAGCCTTTGTACAGCTGTTATATTCCATACCATATGCCGCATGTTTATAAGCTGTCAGATGCCCATGAATATACTTGTAAAGAGCTTTGTACAGCTGTTATATTCCATACCATATGCCCATGTTATACTGTCAGATGCCCATGATATACTGTCACAATTACTTTCATCATTATGTCATTGTTGTGCCCATGTTATACTGTCATAGCTGTATATTTATGCTTTTCATAAGTATGTCATAGCCGTATATACTTATAGTTGTATATTTATATGGCTTTAATGCCTAAGTAATAATATAATTTTCAGCTTCCTCTTCAGAAACTACTAGATCCTTAGCCAGCATTTCAATTTGCCAATGCAAATATGCATTAGAGCTTCTTTCTGACACGGGTTATTTAGCATTCTAGCTGCTAAGCCAACATCGACACGCCTATGGACACTCATGTCAAACTTGGTAATTCTTCTAGTACACCTCTTTCTGATTCTTCTAATTACAGAAATCTTGTTGGTCAATTACTCTACTTAACCACCACATGGCTATATATCAATTTTGCTGTAAACCAGTTTAATCAAGCGCTCTTCATGTCGCTGCATAAATCCTACTTTTCATGAACGCACCAAGCACATAGAGCTTGATCGTCATATTGTGAGTGAGAACCATCCATTTCTTCTTTTCAATGACTCGAGCTTGGAATATACATCTCTAGCTTATGGAGAGGGGACGGGGTCTTTTCAGATAAACAAGACCACAAGAAGCTTCTTGAACCTCAAGAAGCAGTTACTTGATTTATTTTTTTATTTAAATTAGCTGGTGAGTTTTTTATTTGTTGCACTGTAAACAATTAGTTAGAAGTTTATCAGTTTGTTAGCAAAATAATTGAGCTCATGTATTTTCTATCTTTAATTTTTCCGCCAACCTTTCTTGTATATAAACAAACTTCCTCAGTTCAATAAAGATGATGCGCAAATTCATTTCAAATTTGAACTGTTTTAAAGAGTTTCAATAAAGATGTGTTTGAAGAATTGAAAGTGAAGATTCAACGAGTAATGCTATTTGAAAATGATGGTTTAGAAGAACCAAGACTTAAGAAAGGGAAGGAAAATTCTGCAGAGAATTATGTAAGTGCGAAGAGAAAAGATCTAATCTATATTATAGCATAGTGAAAATATTTATACAAGAGCTATTTCAAAGTTTGTTCACTAAACCTCTATAAATCAAGGAAATTTGTCTTCAAAACTAAAGCTTAAAGTAAGGTATATCACAGATTTTTCAACTACTGTTACTTGACTTCAACTAATACAAGAGATGAAGATTACAAGATAACAAAGTACAAGAAAATCTAAATAACTTCGGCAAAATAATCTCTAATCAACTACACTATATTCATCAGCAAAATACATCCAAAATGTGTAGCAACACTTGCATCAATTTTACTTCAATGGAGCTGTAGTTGTAACCTTTAACAGAAAAGCTCTTATTATAAAGGTATTATTTTAATTTTATTGATTTGAATTCAAAATTAATTTGTAAATTGGGTAAATGATTAGAATTCTTCCTCATTTTATTGTATGGATATTATTTTATTTCCTTGGCTTAATTAGGATAAATTTTAAAAGAAGTATTGGTAAGAAAAAGGAGTACGATGAAGATTCAAGCTTGAACTCTGTAATAATTATCTAAGGCTTTCCATTCTAGGGCTATTTCATTAATCGTATAAAAGTATTTCAACCTATTTATTTTTATGTCAACCTAATATATATCACGATATAAAGCTCGTAGAAAACAATTGTAATTTTTTAAAAGCGTATATATGTATTTATGTTCAGATAAAATTAACCTCAATAATTAAAGTTTTTAGTTTCGTCACTAAAGTATACTCAAACTTGATTCAAGTTCAAAAACAATACTTGTGCTATCTTGAGCTTGTTTATTTACATTTTATAGTTTAACAAGAAATGTGATTTATTCACAAGCTTGAACTAGAACTCAGGCTCGTTTATATAGCTAGGCTTTATAGTGAGGTTCGTGAACCAGCTCACGAACCTCGTTTTAGAAATCAAGTTTAGTTCATTTATTAAATAAGCTCACTTGTAAAATGAACTTGAGCACGTTTTTTTGAGCCAAATTTTTAGTAGCTCATGGAAATTTGATTCATTTATAGCCAACTCGTGATATCTACATTAAAAAGTATTAATTATTTATAGAATTTATTTAAGGGTTTGAATTGAAGTTGATAATTTTTTTAAAAAAAAAATTGTGTGAATGACTTATACCATGCTTAAAATAGAGAAAAGTCAAGACTAATTACTAGCCTTTATTGAACACGTTATCATTTTACGTAAGATAATGATAATTTAATCAATAATATTAAGATATAAGTCACTAAAACGAAATTTTATGAAACAAAGTATTTGAAATTAACCTAGACATAAGAATATAGAAAAATCAAGACTTACTACCCTCCATTCTTGAATTCGTTATCGTTTCTGGAAAACAATGACAATTTAATATAATATATCAAACAATAAGCCATCATAAAAGAATTTTATCAAACGAAAGCATTTGAAGATATGATTAGCGCTGGGCCAGCCAATGTTTCAATTAATTTGAAACCGAACTGAACCATGGTTAATTCGGTTTGAATTATTTATCTAACCAATTTTATTTTCGAGTAATGGAGAAAAAACTAAAAATTTTATTCAGTTCAATTTGTTTTGAAGAATCTTAAAAAACCAAAGGGAACCGATCTAAATACTACTAGATAATTTTGAGTCAAACCAATTGGATTCAGTTCTTGATAAACATGCATTCGATTCGATTCATTTTTTAAAAAATTTTGGTAAAAGATCAGTTTTGCACAATTCAGAAGAAGCATTCCACAATTCTGTCTCCTATATAGGTCAGCTTTGCAGCGAAGTACAAAATTGTCCACCACCTAAGTGAAAATTTTTGCTTAAGCTAGCGTTTGCCATTTTTGAAGTCAATTTGCACAAATTCTAAAGAATTAATGTTCATTTCATATGATATGCATAATAATACTCTTCTGATACGTTAATTAACAATTTGTGGCAAGTGAGTTGAAGCTGAAGAATCTGCTACTTCTTTGTTTTGCAGTAATATAGTGTCACATGAACAATTTATTAATTTAAATCAAATATATTATTTATCAAAATTGAACTATTACATAGATAATGATCCATAATGAATCAATTAATCTATTTAACCTCTTAATTAAGAAATACATTGAAATAACAAGCATTTGTTTTAAATTTTTCAAAGCATAACTGCTATAGCTGATCTAATACTACTTGACTGGACTGGGTGAAGAGTTATATGGAATGGGAATCAAGTGTAACTCATGTTTTCTCCTAGCTGAAGCTCCAAAAGAATCAGACATGTCTAAAAGATGTGGTTCCAATCCATTTGGCAGTTTCCAATCAAAATGGTATAGCAGATTTGCAAGTGCAAGCTCAACAAGAGCCATACCATATCCCACACCAGGACACATCCTTCTTCCGGCACCGAATGGAATAAATTGGAAGTCATTCCCTTTAAAATCAATAGAATTATTCTGAAATCTCTCTGGATAAAATTTCTCAGCTTCATTCCAATGACGACTATCTCTTCCAAGTGCCCATGCATTAATAATGACTTTGGTGTTGATTGGTAATTTATACCCATCGATCTCCACTGCATCTAGACTTTGTCTTGGAACAAGCAAAGGAACTGGAGGGTGTAATCTTAAAGTTTCTTTAATAACTAACTTTAGATACTTCAATTCATCAAGTCTTGTTTCATCTATAATATTTTCTTTATGATTAAATACCTGCCTTACCTCTTTTTGTGCTTTTTCCAACACTCTTGGATCTTTTACCATTTCTGCCATTGCCCACTCAATTGTTGCAGCAGATGTTTCGGTTCCACCCAGGAACATGTCCTAAACAATAATAATCATTAAACTTTAGTATATATAAAAATTTATACTTTCAAAACAACTAAATAATCATTTAACCCTAAGATCTCAAATATGTGATAAATACGATACCCATTAGTAATTATACTCACCAGCATGACTGCTTTTATATGTTCCATCGTCAAGGGGAATTCAAGATTATCACTATCCTGAATATTCAAAAGAACATCAACAAGATCATCTTCTTTGCCCTCAGAATTGCTTCTACCTAATCGCTTATTTTCTCTATGTTCATTAATTATATTTTCAAGCATTATGTCCGTTTCTTGATGCAACTTCTCCAATTTACCCCTCATCCCAGTAATTCTATGAAGAAATCTAACAGAAGGGAAAACATCAGCAACACTAAAACCTTCTAGCACCTGCACAATTTTCTGCACAAGTGGCAAGAAAGCCTCTTTTCGTTCGGAAACCTTACCAAATGCAGACCTTAAAGTAATGGTGTTTGATAAAGCAAATACCATCCTACCAAGGTTAACTTTGGAGGAACTTGAAATTGTTCTGATAAAAGTTGATACCTCGTCTTCTCGGATTGGTCTAAATGATCTTACCCGTTTTGTGCTCAATAGCTCAAGCGTACAAATTTTACGCATCTGTCGCCAACTATCACCGTAAGGGGCAAAAGCTATGTCTTTGAAGTTATACATGAGAATCTCCGCCGCAAGGAGAAAAGGCCTTTGCAAGAAAATGATGTCATGAGTTTTCATAACTTGTTTGGCAGCTTCGGGCGAAGAAACGACAATATTGGAAACTTGGCCGAGTTTGATATGCATTACAGGGCCGTATTTTTTTGATAAATCCCTTAGGCGATGCTGAGGCAGAGAGCCGAAGAGCTGATGCATGTTTCCTATTATTGGTAGCTTCCATGGCCCTGGGACTAATTTATGGGAGGAAGTTTTGGGCTTTCTTTGTAGAATAAAGACGAATAAGAGGAAAGTGAACAAGGCTGAGAAAATAGAGAATTCTGGCATATACTCCATTGTAAATAGATTGTGTTTTTGTAATACCTACTTGATAATTGTTCTTGATAAGTACCTACTATATATATATATATATATATAGTCACAGTCCAATCGTAGGTTCTTCTGTTAAGTTTACGTCTGCAGCATGGATGCTACTTCATCCAAAGACTTCCAGCTAAATTCAAAAATAGCCCGCTGTATCTAAAAAATAAAAAGTAATAATAATAATAAAAAAAAACATTGTCACACCTCAAAATTTGTGAATGACATATTGTGTGCTCTAAAGTCATAAATTTTTATAATATTGTACATCTTTTTGTACTATCAACAATAATTTTTTTATATTTTTTTCTTTTTTATTTGAAATTTTGATTTGGTGTAAGGTTATATATTGTGACTTTTAAAATAATAATTTCACATTTTATAACTGTACAATACTAATTTAATTGATCAAATTTTATAAATAGTAGTGTTCAATAAAAAATTTCTGTAAATTGAAAAGTATAATTTTATAGGTCAATCTTATAATTATAAGTTATACGGAGGTTCATAAACCAGCTCATGAAATATATTTTATTAATCAAGTTTTACTCATTTATTCAATATTAATAAGCTGATTAAAGCTTATCAGCTAAATTTGATTAATTTTTTTTTAACTTTTAATATCTAACGCGTGGCTTGACTCCTTTATTGTTATTTCTCGATGTACCCACTAAGAAAACATTAGATATTTGTAGAATTGATATTTTTTAATATAGAATTAGAGTTGATAAATTTTTTTTTCTGTGTAACTAACTTAAACCACGCTTAAAATAAAGAAACGTCTTAGACTTATTACGAATACATTATAATTTCTATATAAGTTGACAACAATTGAATCAATAATATTAACAGGTAAGTCAGCAATGACAAAATTTTATCAAGTAAAGTAATTGAAATTAACTTAGACATGAGAAATAGAGAAAAGTCAAGACTTATTACCCGCCTTTATTGAATCCTTCATCATTTCTGGAAGAGAATGACAATTTTAATCAATAATATATCCAGCAGATAATAATTTTATCAAACAAAGCATTTAAAGCTACAATTAGGGCTGGCAAATGGTTCAGTTAATGAAAACTGAACTGAACCATGCTTGTCCGGTTTGAATCAATTTAATAGTTTTCTAACAAATTTTATAATTTTCGATTAATGGAGGAACCAAAAGTTTATTCAGTACAATTTGGTTTGAAGAATCTTAAAATCAAAGGAAAGTAATTAAAATCCTACCAAATAGTTTTGAATCAAACCAATTTGGATTGATTTGATCCGGTTCATGATGAACTTCTATTTGATTTGATTTCATTTTGTTCGTTGTATTTCCTTTTCTGAATATATTCGCTCCGTAAGTACACGGGTCGTACAAGTAGTAAAAAAGATTATCGTCCCATAGAGATTGAGGAATAGGCTATTAATGTTTTATGTTTGACAATTATTAGGAAAACTGGATAAAGTAGAATTGATTTAAACTAAGTTGCAATTAAAATTAGCAAGTGAAGATAATCAAAAGTAAATTCAAGCAAATAATAGTTGAGACAATCTAACTATGGGATTTCTAATAATTCTTTAATGCAAACCATGAACAATTGATTTATGGTGTTCAAATTCCTCCCTCGAGTTTAAATGGACCATTAAAACCACATGACATCTGCTGTCGTAGCTTAATATGATTTTAACGTTATTCTATCAATTCCTAAAGGAAAACTAACTTAGGGTATCCACATTCCTCTCTCGAGTTTGAGTGAAATGTTGAAATTGTGCAACATCTACTCTCGTAACATAGCACAATTAAAACTCATTAAGTTGGTGTTAATTCTTTTCACCCTCAGAGAACTTAGCTTATCTCTAGGTCTAAAATTCTAGGTTTAATATGTGGGATCCGATCTAGATTGTCAACCTCTCGATCTAACAAACAAATCTAAAATCATACAAATATGGGTATCGACAAATTTACAGACATTGAGTTCAAATACATTAAATCAGAAGTTTAAGCATTATAAATCAAGCTATTCAATGTTGCATTTTAAATTAATAGATAATTCCTATAACTAGATCTAAATATTTAGCCTAGCATTATTACAAATTTATTAACACTAAGAAAATACACAAAAGGAATAAAAGGCATACATGACAAACTTTGGGATTTATTTAGTATTGGTTGGCTACGGTGCTCACATCCCAAGCTCGTCAAAATCTTTTGCTCTTACTCCCTTTGTGTTATAGTAACACTAGTGGCTAATGTTTACTGATTCTCTCTCCTATTTGGCTAATTTCTTTTGATTGGCTCATTTCTTACCTCTTATTCTCTCATGCGCAGCAACAATAGGGGTGGACACGGTTCTGGAACCGGCGGTTCCGGTTCCAAAAAAACTGGAACCGCAACCGAACCGAAAAGTTCCGGTTCCGATTCCAATACGGTGATAAACCGATGGTTCCGATTAGTTTTCCAGCGAATCGCATAATTTTAAATTTTAAATTTTGAAGACCGGTTTTCAAAATTTAATAAATTTGTGAAAGTTATTTGTAAAAAAAATACCCGCATTGGTTCCGCTTCCAAAAAAACTGGGCAACCGCAACCGAACCCGAAAAGTTCCGGTCTTCCGATTCCAATACGGTTGATAAAACCGATCGGTTCCTGTATTAGTTTTCCAGCTGAATCGCATAATTTTAAATTTTAAATTTTTGAAGACCGGGTTTCAAAATTTTAATAAATTTTGTGAAAAGTTATTTGCTAAAAAAAAATACACCTAAAAAATTAAAAAATACTTCAATTAAATTTTTATTTTTTATGACTGTACAAAACATAAATATTTATTTTTAAAAATTCTTCAACTGGAATTAAGTATGAAATTCAATCAAACAAAATTTAAAAAAAAAAAAAAAAAAAAAACCTGATAGTTAGAACCGCCGGTTCGAACCGCCGGTTCTAATCGGATGGGGAACCGGCGGTTCTAACCGGATGGGGAACCGGCGGTTCCAATCCGGTTCCGATCGGTTCGGTTCTCTGGAACCGGAACCGAACCGAAAATCTCCAGTTTTGGTTCCAGTTCGGCCCAGTTCCGGTTCTCACCGGTTCCGGTTACGGTTCCGGACCGGTTCGAACCGACGGTTCCGGTTCCCGGAACCGTAATATGGCCACCCCTGCATTGGATGACCCATAACTAAATTAATAAAAAATAAATTATCATTGAAATGACAGTATTTTTGGACAAAAGACAAAATGGAAATAATATTTTAAAAAATTATATATTTGTTGGTTTGGAGTAGATCTGTAAACTCGGTTTAGACAAGTATAATATAAAGACAGGACATACCTGCCTGGTGTGTGCATATATATTCCATTTTTATTTATTTTTATTTTTTATGTATTTCACGTTGTTTATACTCATTTAACGGGGGGAGGTTTTTAAAATATCTATGGTAGAGCGCTTGTTTAGCATGGGGATTGATACCCCACATCTCCATTTTTATTTATTTTTATTTTTTAAGGAGATTATGTAAATAAGTTAATTCTCGAAAGGAAAAGAAGAAGATGATTCTGTTTAATACTTCTTATGGAATCTTCAAGAATAAATCGAATTCTTTGAAAATTCCCTTGACAACGGACAAACATCATAAGCAAGACATGCTGGTGCATTTTTTTAGTATTCTATAAATTACTATGCACGGTTATTTTTTTATATGTGTGCATGCATAGTGATTATTCAAATTGTTTTTGCAATTGTTATTTAGATATGAAAGTTTTAATATAATTTTTCTTAGGACAATGCTTTCCTAAAGCTGTAAACGCGAGAAAACCGTCTGCTACAGTATATTGATTGATGGCTCACAAATTTTCATGAATATATTGTTAAAAGATTTCAAATTAATGAACATAAAGAAAATAAGAGATTAGGTAAAAGTAATTCTGAAGGAAAAGAAGATGATCTTGTTTATGTTCTTTTGAATCTTCAAGATAATGGTAATCTTGAAATCCCCTTGACAACGGAACACATCAAAGCAGACATGCTGGTGAGTATCATAATTACTATTGGGTATTTTTATATGCTGAAGTGATTATTCAATTGTTTTGCAATTTTTATAGATATGAAAGTTTAATTATAATTTTTTAGGACATGTTCCTAGCTGGAACCGAAACGTCTGCTACAGTAATTGATTGGGCAATGTCAGAAATGTTAAAAGATTCAAGAGTGATGAAAAAAGAAACAAGACGAGATAAGGCAAGTATTATAATCAAAAAGAAAATATAGATGAAACAAGATTTGATGAATTGAAGTACCTGAAATTAGTTATTAAAGAAACTTTAAGGTTACATCCTGCAGCCCCTTTACTTGATCCAAGAGAATGCCTAGAGGCAGTGGAGATCGATGGGTATGAAGTACCAATCAACACCAAAATCATTATTAACAGGTGGGCAATTGTAAGAGATACTCGTTACTGGACTGAAGCTGAGAAATTTTATCCTGAGAGATTTCTGAATAATTCCATTGATTTTAGAGGGAAGGACTTTGAATTTTATTCCATATGGTGCTGGAAAAAGGATATGTCCTGGTATAACATATGGCATGGCTGTTGTTGAACTTGTACTTGCAAATTTATTATACCATTTTGATTGGAAACTACCCAACGGAATGAAACTACATCAATTAGACATGTCTGAAGCTTTTGGTGCTACAGCTAGGATAAAAAATGAACTACACTTGATTCCCATTCCATACAATACTTCACCTAGTCAGTAAGTTAAAAAGATTCAGAACTGGTATTAGATTTGGTTTTTTCACTTATTAACTATCTGAATAAAATTTTTCTTTTCAGAACTGGGAGCTAGGTTTTAATTAACCCCTCAGACTATAGAGAGTAAATGTCTTTACTCTTTCAACAAGTTCACTTTTCATGAATTAACTTATATTTTTACCTTAGAGATCGAGCTCGCTTACTGCCCTCGTCAACATTTGTTGGTACTACATATGTATATTTGTTACATTGCATATTTATAATTGTGATTTT